CAATCAAAGTGATCAAGCTAGGGGGTAAAGAGCGACCTTAAGGGAGGATAATGACTCAGTCAAAATTTGGTAAGCGGTCAAAGCAATCGGGTATGATTTTACAAGGATGGATTAAAACATAGGGTGGTTTATCACTTTTCAGCAAAGACCAATTGGTTTGAAAAAAAACGAGAGAGAAAAGACTCAAGTTCACTATGAATAGTGGTCCAAACCTTGGGAGCAAGGAAATTTTGACGATACCGCGAGATACAATTTAGCATAGATTTTCAAAACGAGGCAAAGGGGGATTGAGTACCGACAATGCGGGGTGGCCTATGTTCCTCTCGGGTAAGATTGTTGTCAATTTCAACTCAAAAAACAAAAACAAAACGTTCAATCAAACTCAAAATTCAAAAAAGAAGGTCATATTTCCCCACACATTTCTTTCGAGTAGGATTGCCTAATAATAGATCATTCACTTAGGTAGGGTCACCTCACAATAGACTATCCTTTCGGACAAGATCGCCTAATAATAGATCATTCGCTCGGATAGGGTCACCTCACAATAGATCATTCTTTCAAGCAGGATCGCCTAATAATAAATCATTTACTTAGGTAGGGTCACCTCTCAATAGACCATTCTTTTAGGCGGGATCGCCTAATAATAGATCATTCGCTTAGGTAAGGTCACCTCACAATAGACCATTCTTTTATGCAAGATCGCCTAATAATAGATCATTCTTTCGGGTATGGTCGCCTCACAATAGACATTGCATATTTAATTTCGGGGTAGGTTGTCCTTTACAATAAGGCCATGCATCGTATGTTTAATTTTCACTCGCATATTTAATTTCTATGGTAGATCGCCCTTTACAATAAGGTCACGCATCTACATGTTGATTTTCTAGGTAGGCTACCCTTTACAATAAGGCCACGCATCCGCACATTTAATTTTTTGGGTAGGTTGCCCTTTATAATAAGGCCACACATTGCACGTTTAATTTTCGGGGTAGGTCGCCCTTTACAATAAGGCCGCGCATCTTCACGTTTAATTTTCGGGGTAGGTCGCCCTTTACAATAAAGCCACGCATCCGCACGTTTAATTTTTAAGGTAGGTCGCCCTTTATAATAAGACCACACATTGTACGTTTAATTTTTAGGGTAAGTCTGCCCTTTACAATAAGGCCATGCACTCGCATTTTAATTTTTATAGTCATCCTATCATAGCTTTACTTTCATTAAAAAAAAAAAACTCTTCTTTACAAGATTATTAAACAAAGTCATTGAGAAACATCCTTTTCACTTGACTTTGCGCCATAAGCATTGTAAAAAGGGAGCAACTGTAATAACCCAAAATTTACTTTTGTTTTTATTTTTATTTTTTATTTTTTTAATTATTAGTTTTAATTATTTTTTTATTTAATTTGAATTTTATTGAAAAAAAGAAAAAAAGAAGAAAGGTAAATGATGAAAAACACAAAAATTTTCGTTTAGGGACAAAATTGAAGTAATTAGGGGTGTAACTAAACAAATTGAAAGATTTAGAACCTAAATTGGTTTTACAGAGACCCAATTGATAAGATTGTGTTGAAATTATGCCACAAAAGGGTGTGATCGTGGAAAATTGAAAAGCATGAGGACCAAGTTGAACTTTTGGAGTAGACGACGGAGTCTGGAGTGAGAAGGACGACCTATCATTCGCTCCAACTCTAATTTCCCTCCGAAAATCTTTAAAGAAATCGCCAAATCCTCCAAAAATTTCTTGTTTTGATTCTACATTTATCATTGAATTCATTTTGGATAGAGAATCAAGCAATCACTAATTCCTTTCCTTGTTGATTAGCAAATCGAATAAAATTTGGGATTTTTGACGAGAAAATTTTGAGGATTTCGTGTTTGATTCTAGGAGAAAATTAAGCAAGCTTTTGGCTATAAAAACGAGTCCGATTTCAAGAAAAAAGGGGGAGGATTCGAGAGGGGAGAAAAATTGAGTGTGAAATTGTGGTTAAAAGAGAGTAAAAATCGAAAGCAAAAGAGTTGATTTTTTGATTTTTAGCCACTGCGTTTCCGGGTTTTTTACGGGTTGGTGTTCTTGGTATTTTGGGTTTAGCTCATCATCAATCGGTTTCCTTTAATCTTTTCTTGTTTCTTTTCGGAGTCGTTTTTTGTCCTTGAGTGTTTCTCAATCCGATTTTCTAAATTAGGGACCTCATTTCTTCATAATTTTTGGTTTCCCATTTGAAGTTCTTGGCGGTCACTTGAACTTCTTCATACGCTCGGGTTCATGTTCTTCAATCTGCTGGATGGAGTTTCGTTCGACTTCAATTGTTGGATTTGATTTTTCGTTTCGAATCTCATTCGGGCACATCGAAAGGAACAGACGCCCTTTTTGAGTCTCTTGAAACCATATTTGAGTTTCAATCCGCATTTTTTCGAACATCAATCACAAGTCTAAGGTATGTTCTTGTTTCTTTTTTTCTCTCGTTTTCGATTCAATGATTTATAATTCCCAAATGTTTGGTTAGTTATTTGTTTAAGTTTTAATTCGGGTTTGTGATCGAAACAAGAGTGTAATAACATGTGTTAGCAATTATTTGTCCAAAATGGGGCTTTAATTTTTCCGGTAAAATCCGAGAAAATAGAGAGAGGATAAGAAGGTTGAGAAGAATAGGAGAGAGGGAGAGATTTTAGGGGTTTTGATCCGTTTTACGTCGGGGATGTTAACTTGGGCTTATTTTCGGGTTAAAGTCCATTGAAAAGAAAAAAGACGCACGAGGCTGGATCGATTTTAGCCTAGCCGGCCCGATGCAAGAGAAAAAAAAAGAAAAGGGGTGTTGGGCGATTTCGGACCAGCTCGCGCCCTCTATGCCAAAAAAAAAAGGGGGGGGCTGGACTAGAATCTAGCCCGACTCGTGTCCTTAACCAAAAAAAAAAAAAAAGGAAAGAAAAAAAAAGAGGGGAAATGAAAAAAAAATTTAGGGAAGAAAAAATAGGAAGAAAAAAAGAAAAAATGAGGATGGGTAAAAAAAAAAACAAAAGAGTAAAAGTTATGGGTTAATATTTTAGGCATATATTTTATTTATTTATTGCTTTTATGATTCATTTATTTTTTTAACTTTGTTTATATAGGATGATTTTTTTTTTTAATCTTTTATCTTTTATTATTTATTTATTTTTATCCTGTTTATTTTTATTTCTTGTCGTTTTTAGGTATTAATTTAGATTTGTTATTTTAATTTTTTTAATTTATTTTTTTTAATATGTATTGCTAGAAAAAAATCTTGACAAAGTCTCCTATCCGATAGGGACCGATGTCATCGAAAAATGCTTAAAAATTTTCGACGAAGCCTCTTATTTAATAGAGGTGACGTTACCAAAAATCACCTTTTAATTAAGACGTCATCCTACACGTCGGTTGTGTCAAGGCTTTTAGTGGATCCAATGTTTGAATCGACGTGTCACCCAACGAAGGGGACCGACGATCGTTTCAATATGATGCCACGCCCAAAACTAAAAAATTTCACTTAGTCTAAAAGAAAATAGGAGATTAAAATTTAGAAAATAACTTGACATAGATTTTAGGAAATAATTCGAACTAAACCGTACATGGTACTTTTTTTCGAAAAGGAGGTTTTTTGGTGATTAAATATCTTCCTAAAAGCGTAATCAACTCCCGATCTTAGAAATCTCCGAACCAGTGCTACTTTTAGGTTCCTAATTCCTTAAATACTAGGTGGCGATTCCAAAGCTCTGTAAATAATTTTGTAAATAATTAGCGCTCGGACTTTAATTTTTTTTCGGAGGTCTCGTCCGACGTCGTGTAACGACGTAACTTTTCTCAATCAATATTATTATAGTGATAAATCACACACAAGACATTTGTTTTTACTTTTCACAAGTTTCTTCTCCAAAATAAACAAAGGAAAATTTTCTTTTCACCCTTATTTTTTTTCTCTCCTTCACTTTCCTTCCTATCCAAACAAAGGGTTAATATTTAGAATGTTATATTCCGTTTATTTATAAAAGCATAAGATTTATGAATTATTTTTATGATAACTCCTATATTTATGTGAGAAAACGAAATACAATTCTTGATATAATTAATAATTTCTCTAGCTATCACCCATAGGCACAACCAAATGAACAAATTAAGATTAAGGTACATTTTCTCTTCCACTCATTTCTAACTATGCACTATACTTTCTGACCACAATCAGAGCCCGACTCTCATCATTCAGGCAAAAAGATTTTGCTTTGGTCCTATCCTATTGTATCCTATATAAGCGAACTTTCTCGCACTTTTTTTTAATCCACTTTGACTCTTGGCCGAATAAAATTGTTGAGAGTACTTTTTCTTGTGAAAATAAAAAAGCAGATGAAGCCCAGCAATTATAAAGCCCATATAAAACGAGGCTAGATCGTGGCCTAAGGAAAAAGGAGCAAAGACTTTCCATGACTCGCAACGAAAAGGTAGGAAAACAGGGAATTATTGATTGCATAGAAAGCTGCAATCTTAAAAAAGCTGCACGCACCCCAAAAAATAGTATAAGATTTGTGAGTTATTTTTATAATAATTTTTTACGAAAAAAAGAATTTTTTTTATTTGTACATTCAAAACTTCTAATAAAATTAATTTTTAAGATTTAAAATTGTGATAGCTGCAAGCTCTTTGGTGAAAAAACGGAGTATAACTCCTGTCTATCTAATAATTTTGTCAGAAAAACAGAGGACAACTTTTTGGTTCTGTAACATGGATGGACGTAAGTATCATCATATGACCGGACCACATCTCTGATCTCTCGACTCTATAACTCTACTACCTGTCCTGTCCCTTTTCATAGATTTACTTTTATCGTCATTAGACGCTGCCTACTGCCTTGCCTTTCTTCTACTGCAGTCTGCAGCAAGCAACCAAAACTAAAGAAAACCAGCGGCACCATTAACTCACCCTCTAATTCGCTCTCCTTGTACTTGTCTTTGCGTTCAGTTTTTTTTTTCTTATGTGAAATATTACGAGGCCAATGGGTTGCTTCTGTTCTAGAACCACCCACCATCCCTCCCCTGACGACCTCTCTAAGCTTCACTCAGGTTCCTCTCCCGGCCCTCTTCCTCTCTCTGGGCTGTTTTCTTTTTTATTTTGTTATCTCCAGCATTGTCTTTAATGGGTTTCTTCGTTCTTTGTGTGTCGTTTTCAGTTTTATTTGTTTATTTAATTAACTAGCCAATATTGTTTGCATTTGCTACTTCTTCTTCTTTGGCCTTTTTAGCGCATACTATAAATTTACTGATGGTTTGCTTTATTTTTATTTTTTAAAAAGATAACCGGGACGAGGGTGGTCAAGTCCAGGAAGTGCCAGCATTCAAAGAATACAGTCTGAGCGAGCTGAGAAAGGCCACAAATGGGTTTTGTACAGATTTTATCGTCTCTGAAAGTGGTGAGAAAGCACCTAATGTTGTTTATAGAGGAATACTTGACAACAATCGTTTGGTGGCTGTTAAAAGGTTCTCTAAACTCGCATGGCCTGATGCTCAACAGTTTATGGTGAGTCTCCATTTTCTGTTTAGTATGACAATATCAAGGAAAAAAAAGAAAGAAAAGGAAATTAAGCAGTAGCGGTAATTTGGAATAAAGATTAGGAAGGTGGGTTTAGCTTCTTCCCCTTTTTTTCTCTTTTAATTTGAGGAAGTGAAGGTAAAGGAAAGTCGATATCATGAGACTCATTGGATTTAATTGTGAGTTGGATTATTGACAGGAAAGATTTTTATTTTTTTATTCTTTTGCAGAGGGAGTGTCAAAGGTCCTGTATTTTCTTAGAAACCGAATATATATATATATATATTCCAATATTGCTCTAATTTTCTCTTTTATTCTTTTGTTTTTCCTCTATCTTTTCTTAACAAAACCAAAATGGTGTTTATGGTTTCTGGCTAACTTAGAATCGAGTATAATTTTGATGGAACTTCCTTGGCTGGTCAGGTGGAGGCGGCAGGAGTGGGGAAGTTGAGGCACAGGAGATTGGTAAATCTGATTGGTTGCTGTACTGAAGGTGATGAAAGATTGTTGGTAGCCGAGTACATGCCCAATGGTACCCTGTCCAAGCATCTCTTCCACTGTACTATTCAATGCCCTCCTCAAGTTCTTTCTAAGAAAGTGATAGCCTCAGTTGATAATGTTCACGGTTTCTTCTTTCTAAATCATGGTTGTTTCGAGCATAATGAGAAGGTTCATTAGCATTTGATTTAAGAGTCTCATCATTTAATAAACTGCCTCATTTCTGCTATGCGCGATGAGATTACTTAAGTACTAACGAATATTTAAATTAGGCTCTCTGGTGTCAATGGAGGATAAAACATTTTGATTGTGATTTTGTTTTGAACATGCTGTTATATCATATATGTGATTTGTGCTTGTATGCCTAAGCTATTGTTTTGAGCATCGCTCCTTTTCTAGAATTTTCATAATTACTACTCAAAGAATCAGAAGTTTTAATTTGTAATGTAACACCCAAATTACATTACACCGTACATGATTGGATATTTGGTTACCTAAAGGCTAGGTTCTGATAACATACTTGGGAGCGGTAGGCATCTAGAGGAAGTAATGAACACAGTTACCCCTTTTGTTTTTATATTGAGTTTTATTTTAGACCATGACATGAGACTATCAGCTCATGTACCTGTAAATAAGTGGTTTTTAGTGGGTCATCCGGTTTATTGTTGAGAATGCCTTTAGTAGTATCAGAAGATATTTTAGTTGTTGCTGATCGACGTGTTGATATAGGTTCAAGTTTTATATCTTTGTATTCGATAGTTGTTTTCATTTCTCATCTTCATGGCTGTTTTCTTTCCTCGTGTTAATGGCCTTCTGTAATTTATTTTTTTTATTTTATTGACAGGGGATAAGCAGCCACTAGCATGGGATATGCGCATTAGAGTTGTCCATTTCATTGCACAAGCACTTAATTATTGTAATACAGAGAACCAGAAGATATTCCATGATTTGAATGCATACAGAATACTTTTTGATGAGGTATTTATGCAACTTACTAGGAAATTGACTCTTTGTATGGTAACATTGGACAATGCCAGCGTGGAATCAATGCATTCTGTGCTCTGGTCTCCTGATATGACCATATGTATTTACCGTTTCTTAGATGAAACTGGCCTGCTTTCTTAAAGACAGATGCTGTGGACCTCCTGTGGTTTAGTTAGAACTAATTTGTGGCTCTCTTCAGGATGGTGACCCTTGTTTGTCAAGTTTTGGCCTTATGAAAAATAGCCGAGATGGGAAAAGCTACAGTACAAATTTGGCTTACACTCCACCTGAGTTCTTGCGGACAGGTATACATGTACTTTACGTCATAACCATTTTTCAGATTTTAATGAAATTTAATTAGAAGAGTTGTCTAATGCACTTGTTTTATTTGCATGTTCAGGAATCTGTAGATGATTTTATATAAGAATTTGTTTAAGCAAATTAAAGAGTAATATATCCTCGAATCTTTTCATCTGTACTTAGGTTATCTGGTGGCATATAAATATTCAACATTGAGTTATAATCCATTGCTCAAATTCAAAGATCCCTGGTCTTTGATTATAGGGTAGGAATTTTTCATATGAGAAATAGCTGCAAGAGGCCATGCCAACTTGTAAGCAAATTACTCATGAAAAATTTTCAAGTATTTTATATTTGCAAGGATGGAGTCATGGAAAGTAACTGCATTTTCATTTTGAAAATAAGTTTTGTGTGTGAGCTAAAGTACATGTGCAGTGTATCTTCGTCTTAGTGGTATTACACTAGGCTATTAATACTTAATGCTGGCGCATCATATTTGATTATTACGGTGAATATGATTAATTTATATAGATTTTTTAGAACACTCATACCCTAAATTTGGTTGGTATGGTACTCTGCAGGCAGAGTCATTCCAGAGAGTGTGATCTACAGTTATGGAACTGTTCTATTGGACCTTTTGAGTGGAAAGCATATTCCTCCTAGTCGTGTATGTTGCCCCTCATTGAATTAACACTTAAGAATGTTGCATTTTCTATACCCTTTTCTTCCTGGGATTCATTTGAAATTAGTATTTTGGAGCTGCTTATCTATGGCTGCATGGTCTCAGGAGGAGAAATGCAACTGCATGCATTATACTATAGACTTGCTTATGTATGCAGATTGCTGTACATTCCATTTGGTTCCAGTGTTTCCTGAATCTGTTTCCTTGCATTTTGTGTCTCTGTCTATTGATTTTATGGAGCAACTGATACTTCAGATCATTGGGACAATAAGATGGTAAATGGTTCCATTCACATTGCATATTCACTAATCTCACTTGGTGAATTAACACTTTTATATTGCTTAATCAATTTTCTGTTTGCCATTCTTTATTAGACAAGCTCTAAATACTGGAGGATCTCTGGTTTCTGGTTGTTGACATGTATCTTTTATCGGTTTTTTTTTGTTGTCCTCTTCAAAATCTAATTGATATTTGTTGACCATTGGGTGACAAAATCTCTACATGCATCATTTCTATAGATCAACAGATCATGTTCAATTCCTTTTCCATGATATAAACCTTGCTGAATGGATGATCACATCTGCAGGCCCTGGACATAATAAGGGGAAAAAATGTCCTGATTTTGATGGATTCATGTTTGGAGGGGCAGTATGCCAGCGATGATGCTACTAATTTGGTTGAACTTGCTTCAAAATGTCTTCAATCTGAGGCTAGGGATCGGCCTGATCCCAAGTTTCTCCTTGCAGCAGTTGCACCACTTGAAAAACAGAAAGAGGTGAAAATTCTGTAATCTTGAAGCTGCAAAAACTCAATGCTGTCATTGTTTTGCGGCTTCTGATGAGTGATATTCAGCAATCTGTTTTTCCTGTCTACATTTTCTGACTGTTTCATGCATTGTTTAGGTGGCATCTTATACTCTCATGGGCTTGTCAAAAAATACAGTTATTCGGCCAACCATTCTTTCCCCCTTGGGAAAGCTTGTGCTAGGATGGATGTCACGGCTGTACATGATATTTTGCTTAAAACTGGTTATAAAGACGAAGAGGGTGCAGAAAATGAGGTACGTTGAACTCTATCTTCACTAGATTTATTTTGTCTGGTTTTTTTTTTACTATGAAAACATAGCTGTCATCATCAAATCAGAAGAAATACTGACCTAAGAAAGCATTAATCCCAAGTTATGGGACTATAGATTTAGCTAACAAGATGGATCATGTTATGCTAGAATCAAATTTGAAGTACCAAACTTTTTCGTGTCTTGTTGATTCATAACCTTAGTAGCACTAGAACTTAGTGGGAGTCATCTGTGTCATATTTTGAATTCCATTGAATAATAATAAATTTAAAACAATGTTTGTGAAATTGTGTGGATGGTCTGTGTAGATAAGTTGGCAATGGACATGCTAGCTCCATAATTGTTTTTTTTTAAAAAAAAAATTAGAAAAACAAAATTGTTAAGGAGAGTTAGCTGGAGAAGGATGACAATGAGAAAAAGTAAGCATACCAACAGAACGTAGTGAGCAAGCTCTAATGGTTAATAATTATTGGCATGCCCTTACTCTGTTCATTACAGAGCTATAACTTGGTCTTTTATTTTTAATTATTATTTGGATAAGAGAAAAATGCATAATATAAAAAGGAATTACAAAAGCTTGATGGAGAATAAGTCATCCTCCCGCAAAAGGAAGCAAATGGAACATCACAAGAGAGCAGCCCAATCACGCTGAATATCATCTGAGGGAACTTCCCTAAAAGCACCTCAAGCATGACACCACAAACAAGAAATGAAAACTATTGTATCCTATGATGTCTTGAAATGTGTCAGTTTTTAAAAATTCTACCATTCCTCTCCAAGCAGGTATGCTGTAGAGGAGCACAAACAGCAGAAAACCACAAAGTTTTTCAATCTTTCCTCCTTCCGAAACCCACGAAATAGGTTAGCATGAAATTTGACACTCCGAGGTAATACCCAAGAAGCACCACCATAAATGAACAATCTGCACCATGTATCCTTAGAAGGGAGCAAGGTAACAATAATTGACTACGAGACTAATCAGTTTGTTGACGCATAACACAAGTATTGGGAGATATTTTGGTCCTATTATGATATCTTGATCCTAGTTTTGCATCTGTGGGCTGGTGATTCCTATCTCATGCAATGTTCTGAAGATATTGACCTTTGTTTGTAGCTTTCATTTCAAGAGTGGACACAGCAAGTGCAAGATATATTGACCACCAAGAAATTCGGGGATATTGCATTTAGAGACAGCGATTTCAAGAGGGCAATTGAGTATTATTCAAAGGTACGTAAGTTTATTTCTCCCCCTATATCATATTCATCTATATGTTGTCCCAAAGAAACTCTGGAATGCATTGATAAATGGTGGCTCTGCATGTCTGTTCTGGTTATGGTGAATCCTTCATAAATAAGTACGAGAAATGAACTATATATGTCTATGTGCATCTGCGGAGCATATCCTGCGTTAAGATTGTTTCGCCCAATTTGCAAGATAACTGATTATTTGGATTTCACAACTTGAACACTATAATTGTTAGATGATGTTTGTGGTGTTAGAAGTTAGTGGGATAAAAATCCATACGACGATTTTCATTCCATTACTTTCTGCATGTTGAAACTTCTGTGTCATTGCAATTATGATTGTTTAATTGTCAAATATATCCCTTCCATGAAACAGTTGGTAAATCTAATGTCAGTTCCTTCGGCAACTATCTTTGCAAGGAGGGCCTTCTCCTACTTGATGAATGGCCAAGCAGAACTATCACTGAGGGATGCCATGCAGGCTCAAGTGTGCATACCAGAGTGGCCAACTGCATTCTACTTGCAGGCTCTTGCACTCTCAAAGCTTGGAATGGAAACTGATGCTAAAGACATGCTTAATGATGGGGCAGTCCAGGAAATGAAGTGGCAAAGAACATATAAATATTAGACCTCATGGCTAAAGGTCCTCAAGTCTCAGTGAGATGTGGTTCTAACAATAACTAGGATAGATAATAAGCGACGCATAGGAAAAATGAAATGTGGTATTTGTGTTGTTCATGAATTCTATGGAATACTGAGTTGATTTATTAGTGGCATATGAAGTTTTCTGTGGATTTTGTTGGCTCAGAACAGGGTCGTTAAATTATGCTCAGAATTTAGCCCGTTTTCTTCCTTACTGGTTCATAATAATATGATGTATTTATTGATGTGGGCAACGACGCACTATTTCATCAACTTCTGCTCATCTTTGTGGTAATGGCGGATATCATGCTATAATGATGCACGCAACCTGTTTTTATAGATGGGTTTTCTTTTCGTTGACTTTACTCTTAAACACATGTTAGATAAACAAGATGGATAAACATGGGTGTAATTAAGAAAAAGGCAATCGGTAAAACGATCCTATTCAACTTCAGGTAAAATTCAATTTTAACTCTTGATCTTTTTATTTTTATGATTTTGACACTTCAAGCTATTATATCAAAATAATTAATCGATTCTGTTAGGTTTTCTATCTTTATAGGAAAAAAGAAAAAAAAAACAAAAACAAAAACAAAGTTAAGAGTTAACTAGGATTATACCAAAAATTCAGGAGATCATCTTACAATTAACCTTGAAAAAATCCTTGGATATAATATTTGATAATTAATATCTTTTTTAAATTACATGAAAAGTCAAAAAAGACAAATATTTTGAAAGGATAAAAAAATATATTTTATATTTTTTAACAATAGATGGATATAATAATAAAAATATAGTTAAATTTTTAAATTATTTTTCGAAATCTCAACTCATTTGATGTTGAGTTTTTGAATTTTAAAATTAATTTTGAGAATTCCGGAACTTTCAATTTTTGGATATCTAATGGATCCTTTAATTTTTTTGTAAAAATAAAAAATACAACAATAAAACCCACAATTAAAATCTCTATATTAAAAAATCTATATCTCTCTCCCTCTTGGCACCTTTTTCTCTCCTACAATCGGGATTCGTTGCGATAAACATAAGAAAAAAGTAATTTGATGTTATAAATTGTTAATCTTCAACTCGTAATTATGAATGCTTAGGAGAAACAATAATCGACTATTGCCGACGTGGCGGGTTAGTTACAACTAATTAACCGACGTGGTAGGTTAGTTAGTTAATTAGAATAATAAAGGTGTAACGGGTAGATTTTTGAATTCATTCAAGGAAAATCGAAAGGAATTAATCCCGACATCTCCCTCTCTTTCTCTTTCGATTCTTTTCTTCTTCTTCTTCCCCATAATTCATCTTCCATTTTCCTAATTAAGTACTTTATTTAACAAATTGGTATCAAAGTCGTCCGGGATCAACCATGGTCGATAGCAACGGAATCGAGCTCTAGAGGAGCATAATCGAAGACAACAGGAGCAAATGCAAGGTATGCACTAAGAATTTCAAGAAGGTGTTAAAGGGATTAAAAAGCAAATGAAGGAGCGGAATCAACAAACCCGAGCTTCAATTGGAGGCTCTAATGAAGACGATTCGATCATTGATGGCGGATAAAGAACCCGAGAAAGAACATCAAACATCTTCCAGCTTCTTCATATGGGGGAAATGCAAACACAAAACCCATCCATTAATGTAATCCCGGTGAGTCCTTGTTAACTCCCGAATTTGTGAACTTTGGTTATAGTTATTCGATTCCCAAAATAGATTTGTAGTGGTTTGGGGGAGAAAATCCCAAGGGTAGTATTCGTAAATGCAAGAAGTATTTTAATATGAATTTCATTACTATTCATTAATGGGTAGCAGCTTGCTTTTATGTATTTGTAAGGAAGAGCTAACATCCGGTTTGAAGGATTTGTGGTAAGAGGCGATTTTATTAATTGGGAGGAATTTGTGGGAGAAATATGTAGAATGTTTGGCGATAAGGAAGATGTAGTGGAAGAGTGTAATAAACTCAATCAAGAAAAAGATGTGGAGTAATATGTAGAGAAGTTTGAAGAACTCAAATCTTTAATGTCTATAAGTAATCCCCATTTGCTCGAATCCTACTTTGTGTCTAGCTTCATTAGTAGACTCAAAGAGGATATCAAACCTATGCTAAAAATTCTGAAACATACCACCCTAATACAAGCATTTGACAAGCTAGGTGGTTGGAGGAGTTTGTGAACGCCATGGCAATCAAGCCTAGAAATACACAAAAATCCTTTCCATCATATAACAATACTAGAACTCACCAAATTCAATACCATTCCTACAATACCAATAAACCATATACTAACCAATTCCATAAGCCTAGCATTACTTTTACTAAACACGAAAACACTAACCCCCATAAACCTATAAATCCCGACTCACAAAGATCACAACCAGAGACCTTGCAATACCAAAGGAGGAGAATAGACTCTATTTCAAGTGTGGAGATAAATACACTCCCGAACATCAATGTGCTAAAAAGGCATTGAATGTAATGGAAGGAATAAAAAAGGATGGTAATGACCTTATGGATGTAGAAAAAGGAAATAGGAGGATGGTGTAAAGGATGAAAGGTATTATAAAGAAACTAGGTTTTCTTTACATGCCCTAGCTAGGAAATATGCAAACAACACTATCAAGATTAAGGGGTGTTACAGGAAAAAGGAAATTATCATCTTAGTTGATAGTGGGACTACACATAGCTTCATTAGTCTTAAAATGGTGAAAGAAGTTGGTGTTGTAGTTGAGGAAACTACTACTCTTTCGATGGCAAGTAACCAATGAGGCAAACATGAAATGTTCTCGCTGAAGTCGAGGATTGGTTTGGTTTATGCGGTGGTCATGAATTTAGGGCCGATTTGAGGATACCGGAATTAGGGGGTTGTGATATAATGTTGCGAGTGGATTGGCTATGAATGTATTCTCCAAGTATTGTTTGACTTCATCAATATGAAGTTGTCATTTAAAAAGGAAGGATGGTTGAGTTAAAAGGAATGACGAAGTTGTTAAATTACAACCGATCATAATGGGCAAAGTATACAAGTCCCTATAGACAGTAGTGTATGGAGCAATGGGATAAATTTTCTTTATTACAACCAATGTTGTATTAGAGGAAGTGGAAAATAATGACATTAGGGGATTATTGCTTAAATATGATAAAGTGTTTGTCGAACCTAAGTCCTTACCACTAGTGAGGAAGTTTGACCATAGGATTTCTCTAATTCTAGTAGCTAAACTAGTAAACATCGAGCCATATAGAAGTTCTTTTGTGCATAAGGAGGAATTGAGAAGTTAGTTACGTAAATGTTGTAGAAGGGAGTAATTCAGACCTAATTGTAGTCCTTTTGCATCTCTAAGTCTGCTCGGTTAAAAAGAAAGATGAAACCCGGAGATTCGTGTGGATTATCGACAACTTAATAACATTATTATCAAAAATAAATTCCCAATACCTTTGATTGATGCCTTGTTAGATGAGTTGTAAGGTTTCCACTTCTTTTCTAAGATAAACCTTTGTTCGGGATACCACCAAGTTAGGATGAATGAGGTAGGCATTGAGAAGACAACATTCAAAACTTATCAAAGACATTACGAGTTCAAAGTAATGCCTTTTGGGTTAACTAATGCCCAATAACATTCTAGGCCATGATGAATTCAATGTCGGAACCATATTTATAAAAATTTATCATTGTGTTTTTTGATGACATCTTAAGTTATAGTCCTACCTCGGAGTCTCATATTCAACATCTTGCTAGGATGTTAGATGTTTTGTCAAGGAATAAGTTATTTAAAAAAGAGATCCAAATGCACATTCTCGTCAAAATCAAGTGAAATATCTAAGCCACATCATCTCGTAAGCGAGGAGTAGCAATTGATCAAAAGAAAATCGAAGCTATTAGCAATTCACCAATTTTAAAATTAGTCAAGGAGTTAAGTAGATTTTTAGGATTAGGTGACTACTATAGAAAATTCATTTACAATTATGGTTTAATCGAGAAACCATTGATCGACCTATTGAAGAAGAATAACTTCCATTAGAATGAAAAAGCTCGAGGGCTTTTGAGCAATTGAAAACAAAGTTGTGTGGTGTATCGATACTAGTATTACCAAACTTTTACAAACCTTTTATTTTAGAAACCGATGTTGTGGTAGTAGGGTAAGAGTCTGTTTTGTCTTATGAAGGCGGACCATTGGCTTTCTTTAATAAGGCATTGTGTCTTAAGCATCGGAGGATGTCAATCTATGAGCAAGAGTATTTGGTCATTCTCATGGTAGTAGATAAATGGAGACACTATTTAAAAGCAAACAAGTTCATTATTAAGACTCGACCATGAATGTCTTAAATATCTCCTAGAACAACAAATCTACACTCCAATTTAAAAAAAAAAGGCTCATAAAGTTATTGGGATTGAGGTTTGAGATTCAAGTACGGAAAAGAAAAAAAACACAGTAGTTGATGCTTTATCTCATAGAGTTCATGACTCTTATACTACCGCAAGTCATCAACAAGAAGGAAATCTTTGTACAATAACCACCTTGCTTCCTACGTGGCATCAAGATATTGTGGAATCATATAAGTAGGATATAAAGACATATGAGATCATTATAGCTAAAGAACTTCATGTCGTATTTTTCCTCAATTCTCTTATCATGAAGATATACTAAGGTACAAGCATAGAATCTATATTAGAGGAGATTAGGCGTTGAGGATACAGTTAGTACATGCTCGCTCATAACTCTACTATTGGGGTCATATAGGAGTTTAAAACATATAAATGAGGCTCAAGCATGCTTTTTATTGGCTAGCTATGAAATTAATGGTTAAGACTTAGTTGAAAGAGTGTGATACTTACATGAGAGCAAAATCGAAAGAGTAACTTATCTAGGTTTGTTGCAACCATTACCAATTCCAACAGGAGCATGGAAAGATATCTCTATGGACTTCATAAAGGGACTACCAAAATCAAAGAGTAAAGACACTATTCTGGTTTTTATGGATAGGTCCACAAAGTGTGGGCATTTCCTAGCCCTATTTCATCCCTTCACAACTAAAGATGTGGCCAAGAAATTCTTAGAGCGGACTTACAAGCTACAAGGATTACCGGCCTCTATTGTTATATATAGGAACAAAGTCTTTACTAGTGTGTTTTAGAGAGAATTGTTCAAGTCTTTAGGGGTTCAATTTCGCATGAGTTTGAATTACCATCCTTAAACGAGATGGCTAAATAGAGAGGTTAAATCGATGCCTAAAGATCTATTTAAGGTGCATGTGTATGGATTATCCAAAAAGATGCCATAAGTGATTACATTTGGCACAATAGTGGTATAATTCTAGTTTTCATTCAGTAATTCTAATGTCTCTATTTTAGGCTTTGAATGGTTATTTTCCTCCAAATAGGGAACTTATTTTACATGAAACATCTATGGTCATTGTTGTTAAGGAATTAGTGTGAAAGATGAGAGCTATGGACTTGTTCTTCGGTCCATAATCGGGAAAGGCACAGCATTGAATGAAACAGATGGCCGATCGAAGGAGAACTAAAAGAACATTTGAAGTTAGAGATAAGGTCTATCTCGAGCTTCAACCCTATATGCAAGTCGATGTGGCATCGAGGAAAAACTTCAAGTTGAATCCTAGGTATTTTGGCCTTTGTTCCATTCTATAAAAAATGAAGCAGGTATCTTATAAACTAAAGTTACCTCCGAATGTTATTATTCATCCCGTTTTTCATGTTTCACTCTTAAAACAGAAGGTGAGTAACAATGTTATTGTTGCTACCAATTTACCACCTATGGGTGGTGAAGGTCATATCACACTCTACCTTACTAGTGTTATGGATAGGAAGAATATAAAGAAGAATAACCAAGTAGTGGCTATAGGACTCATTCAGTGGACTAGCATGCTAGTGGAGGATGCCACATGGGAAGTATTGGAAGACTTAGAGCTTCAATTCCTGCATTTCTATTATGATCCTCGAGGAAAAAGATCCGTCCGAGAGGAAGGCAATGTTATGAATTGTTAATCTTCAAATTTAATTAGGAATGCTTAGGAGAAACAATAACGGACTATTGTTGATTAGTAGGTAGTTATAACTAATTAGCTAACATCGTAGGTTAGTTACAACTAATTAGTCGATGTAGCAGATTAGTTAGTCGGTTAGAATAATAAAGACATAAGGGGTAAATTTTTTAATTCATTCAAGAAAAATTAGAAAAGTATTAATCTTGAAAAAGCTCTCTCTCTTAACTATTTTCTTCTTCTTCTTCTTCTTTCCTGAATTCATCTTCCATTTTCCCGTGTCAAGTAAAGTACTCGAACATTTGATGGGCAAAGTATAAGGCATTTACTACAAATTACTCAAATTTTTGCTACTAGAACTCATCCCTTTATGGTGTTAAAATGACTTACATATGCCTGGTACACTCGTCTAATCTACTAATTGTAGTTGAGAGAAAGGCAATAGAAGCAACGGGTGTATGGAGGGTTTTGATGCTCATAAGGGATAGGTGGAGTGCTATCTTAATCGTTGCTTTTGTTTCTTCTTTCAATTGTTTTTTTGTTTTTTTAACTTCATTAAAGCTTTGGATCGTATGTCGCTTGATGAGATTGAATGATAACTTCTTTCCTTCCCTCATGTAAGGAAGGATAGAAAGGGAGATAAATGATAGATAGATATTCGAATATCGAAGATTTTAATTTTATATATATTTAAAAAATTATTTTTTTTTTACAGAATAATAACCCATAAACTAGATTTTAAAAAATTTTAAATTCAAAACTAATTTTATAGCCCATCTACTCAATATTAAATGAGTGGCTAGACCCATTTAGCTTAAAAATAAATAAATAAAAAACTAAGAAAACGGATGTTACCGGTCGGGTTGCGGGTTCAAATTTATTGAACTCGCTCAAACCGACCCGACCTGCCTATTTTTTATGTTAAGGCATACGTTTATGATAACGCGTAAAATACCCTGAGACATCCTAACATTCCCTTCATATAAATAAGTAAGTTTGACGCTAATTTAGACCTAGGCCTCTCTTTTTGTTTCACAGCCGCACAAAAGAAATCGCTGTTTCTTTCCGTCTTCTCGTTTCCCTCTCTATCAAACATCAGCGATTTCTTCTCCCATCAATAAGTTATTAAGCTTAAATCACAAACACTTTGATGGATGCTACTTCTATTTCTTTAAAGCGACAAAATTACTAGTATTTTTCAATTCTTACTTCTTCTTAGAGAAAATGATACTTCTTAGAATTTTGTTCCATTTTTGTGGTTATGATGTTTTGTTTAGCTCTTAGATTGCTTCAATTCACTCATTGCCCTTTTTTTAAACCCCAATTCTTCAAGAAATTAACCATTAAATTATTATCTCCTAAACCCCTAAACTGCAATTTTTTAATTTTACTAATATGCATGTTCCTAGAGATTTTTCGGGTAATATAGGTCCTTTTTATTTGCTTGAGATCCTGAAAAAATTTATGGCTAATCGGTTCTATACTTTTTCTGAATTTTAAATTATTTAAAAATTAGTTCTTTAATCTAAAGTTGAATTGTTTTGTCAAGTTTTTGACGTCAAAGAACTAATTTTTAAATAATTTAAAATTAAAAATAATTTTAATCTAAAATTGAATTGTTTTGTCAAGTTTTTGACGTTGTAGTTTTGATTATTTTGTTTTTCCTCAAAGCTTGTTTTCCACCTCTTAAAAAAAAAGGAAAAACAAAATATTCATGAGTTTAATATATTTTTAGCTATTGAGAAAATTTAAAAATTAACTATCTGAGAAAATTAAAAAATTAATAATGTATAAGTTAGTTATGTGTAAGATCCAAAATTATTTGCTTTGTCTCGAAAAGTCGAGTTAAATATAAAAATTGGTTAAAACCCACTGGACCCGTCCCGGTCCGACCAATGCACACCCCTCCTTATCATACCTAGAACTTTCCAATGCATAAAATGACAAGATAATTGGATTCTTTTACTACTTATGGTTTTATTATTACAAGTTAGAAAAAAAGAAGACATTAATATGATATATCTTTAAATTAATTTATTATTATTTTTTTTTACAAATAATTTTAATGATGCACCTTAAAGTTCAAATCTTGAACAAAGAAGAAGAAGAAACATACTCTTTTAACCATCAAAACAATAATAAATATTAAATAGATAGATATTATTCAGAAAAGTAGATAATAGATTTTTATTCTTGTGGGTTAAGATTAAGATATTGGAATCTTGAGTACTCCTACTTATATCCCAATTAATTATAGGGTCGCAACACAGATTAGGAGGAGGGGTGGTTCTGTAAATTGAACCAAAATGGTGAGTTAGAAAAGGATTGCCATCACAGAACGCAGTACAGACGGAGAAACATCAGTCGTTAGATCTATTAAACGAAAAAACAAAGAAAGGTACGATAATATTTTCGATTTTTAACCAATCTTTTTTATTTTTTTCATCAAGCAAGGATTTATCTGTCTTTATTTCTTTTCCAATAATTTTTTTTTCGGTCTTGATACCATGTCTTCTTGATCTTGCTTGTCGGTTCCTCATAACTCCTGTTTGTTTCTCGAGAAATCAAGCAAAAGAAATAAAGAAACAGAAAATTTTGAATTTCGTTTTTTTTCTTGCTTTTATTTTTGATTTTTGATTTTTGATTTCGCTTGAGAAATCAAATTGTTCAACCGAAGCGAGAACTAAACATAATATTTCTCACGGTTTATATGAATTAAGAAGAACTTTGACTTATTTTCCCTCGTCAGGAAATAGAAAGTTAGGGTTTGTGAAATTGAAAAGGTTCTGGGAATGCTTTTAATTGGCTGATAATGGGTTCCATTGATGTAATTGGAATAAAGTTCAAGAAAGTTATGTTTTGAGTTTGAGTTGATTTTGATTGGATTCAATTTGATAGCTTTCTTGGAATTGAGATTTTACAAGAATGTAAATGTATTTGCAAGAGGAACGTTGAATTGGTGTTTAGAAAAAAATGTGATTTGACTTGGTTAATTGTGGTGAAATCTACGTTTGGTGTTTTTGTCATGTTTCACGCCGGAAAGCGAAATAAAGAGGAAGGGAAGAAAAATGAATGAGGAGATTTTAAAAGTTTCCCTCTGCTATAGGAACAGAGAAACTCTTGAAATGTGGTCAAGTGTGATGGTTGAAGATGTGTATCAGTGGGGGGATGAGGTAACTATTTGTTGAATTATTCTGGGTGTTATGTAAAGAGAGTGAAAACCGAAGGACAGAAATTACTCCCGTGTAAGAAGTTGCATTCGTTTTTTCCGGGTAACAAAAGAAATGAGGATAGATTGATGTACTCCATTAGCAGGATTTAACAAGTTTTTAGTCAAATGTTATTTGTTTTTTTACAGCGAATCTGATTGCCTTACTGGTAGCCCCTAAATCTGATTTGAGTTTTGTTCTCACCTGTGTGAGAGAGCCAAAAAAAAAAGAGCCTTTAATTGTGAATGAAAGGTTTCATGCATGCCAAGTGTGAGTGTATAATTTGAGAAGTAAATGATGGTTTAAAGTTGCATTCTTTTTTCTCTGTGTTTCTTTTTCTTTTTGTTGATTATTTTTGTCCTGTGCTCAAATTTTCAGATTGAATCCTGGTTGTGTTTCAGGAAAAATCAGACGTTTTATGGATAACAAAGCAGCTGGCAAGGAAGTTTCACAGGAGCTGGCCCGGGAGTCACTTATTGGTATATCTTATTGCCTACCAGATAAGATTCTGAATTCAGAGGTTGTGCCTCAGGCTGTCAATGGTGAGGAAAAGCTTCCAGTCATAAATGGTGATGAAGCTGAAAAGTACAGATCTGAACTAATTTCCATTTCATACAGCCAATCTACTTATCCTGCAACTTCACCAGTGGCATTAGAAAACAACGAGGGTTAGCAAGAACCAAACTTGCCTTTGAAAAGTTGTTGTAGCATATTTTCATGGTTTAATTTGTCGCGGAACTAACTGTTGTGTTATGGGTTTTCACCAATGATGGTTTGTGCTTTCTGCTTCTGTTGATGTTAATACAAACAAGAATATACAGAAGAGTTTTATGTACAAACAACAGTATTTGTTAGGGAGAGAGAAGTGTTTCTATAACAAACAGATGGATTTCGATAACAGTTTGCTGTCTTCACTTGCTTTTGTGGTTTACATTGCACAGCCGCAGAAGGTTTTTTAGATGGATTTTGATGGCAGTTTGTTGTTGTCATTTGCTTCTTGTGGTTTACCTTGGTCCTCCTCAGCTTGGCTTTCCTAGGAGCTGTATATGAGCCTGCATGTTTCGTAAGATTGCTGGAATTTCCTCCTTTTTTAGTTCTGCAAATTCTTTTTCTCAACATTGAAAATTAGCATTTAGCAGAAATATTCACTCCATTCGTCCTTATTATTTTGATGATGCTGGTTTTCTTGAGGTTTTTCTCTCGTGAAATTACCTGGCAGATTTACTGTAAGTCAGCCAGCAAGTACATCCTAAATCATTGCAGTTTTGTTGCGAGCTATATGTTTATGTAGTTCATTTTACACTGTCAAGTTGTTAGCTATAGATTCTACCTAAGGATCATGCCCAGCATCCACGCAGGAAGCCCACGTTTCTTTTCGCAACTGTTGTGGAAATTTTATTCAGATTCTTGGTTCTAACGCATCGGCATCCTCTATTTCTGCTGAATTTTGCTAACTGCTATTTTACCCTTTTTCTTTCTGTTTTTGAAGTGGCCTTTCAATTTTTACTTAGTTTTTCTGATAATATAATTGTTGCGTCACCTTTTACAAATAGCGCTATCCGTATGAAATCCCGTTATCGGCGACTGTACAACGATATTATGATTAAAAAATTTATTTATTTATTGTTTGTTTGTTTTAAAAACATTGAATCTAACGATGTTAAATCTTACATTTTGAAATTATAATGTATTTTATTATTTTATGTGAAATGCAAAATCTTAAATATTAAAAGTATTATGCATTGACGTTGTCATGTGTTTTATTATTTTATGTGAGATGTGAAATTTTACTTTTTGAAGTTGTAATGTTTTCTTTTTTGTGGGATGTTAAATAATTAGAAGTGTTATTAATGTTTTCTTTTTATAATAAATTCAATTATTGTTATATGATATTACACTATTAGAGTTTTATTATTATGGTTAATTAGTAAATCTGTTAAAATATATGAATTAAATAAATTTATTAACAACTCGTTAATGTATTCACAATATTAGCAGTTATGATCGTTATTTTATTATTACAATAAATTGTGACTCATGATCGCAAACGTGGCTGACTTTATAACTGTTTTTGCTATATAAAACTATGGTCAATGCTATCATTTTGGGTACAAAAGGTAAAAATCAACATACGATACTTGGTTAGAGCGATCTCCAATCCCATGTACGATTTCATTGGCTTTTATCAATTTGAGTGTGATTTTGATAATTGAAAGTCGGCTTTGGTAGAATTTAGGTTTGATTTATTGAGGTCATATTGGATCCTTTTAGGTTTTGCATCTTTTTTAGCAAAACCCTTAAAATGGGTTTACTCTACATTTGATCTTTGTACTATTTGAGTTTTTTAATTGTAAATTTCTACTATTTTTGGTTTGATTGAAACCATCTATTTTTAAAAAATTGGTTGCTTTTGATTATTTCTCATAACTTTGTCAAACGCTTATCTAATGTAACACATTATCGTTAACCACCGCTAATAATTAATTGACATGTGACACTATGAGTCTTAAATAACAATGTTGCTCGTTAAAAAAAATGAATTAAAAATATTTATAATAATAAAATAATCTAAAAAGACAAATTTTCCTCTACCTCATTATCCTAAAATCCATCGTTCTTTTCTCGCTTTTCTCTTTCTAGGCACATACTACTTTGCTTCATTTTCTTTTTTTCCTTCTCCGATTGAAATCCTAATCTTCATCTTCTTCTTTGATTGAAATTCTAAGCTTCATCGCTTCTTCTTCTTCTTTGATTGAAATCCTAAGCTTCCATGTTTCTTCTTCTTCTTCTTTTTCATAATTATTCTTTTACTTTCTTAAACTCTCTCTCTCTCTCTCTCGAAGAAACTTTAAATCCCTAAAATCTCTAAATCCCCAAATCCTTAAAACCACATAATCCTAATTACAAATTAGGAGTTTTAATGCGATTTATTAGTGAAAACCCAACTCAAGCCTAATTAAAATCCATAATCGTCAAGGAGAACTTGGCAAGCATTGTTTAATTTACCTAGATTCCTTGATTTAAGGGCAAAGAACATGAAAGATAAGCCATTGCGATTTATTGGTGAAACCCAACCTAACCCCGCTTATGAGATGTTGATGTCGTTGATGATGGAAAAAAATTTTTGTTTGTTTTTTTTAATACCGTTTTTATTTTGGGATAGTAGAGTTTGCTTGTAATGGATGATGGTGATGGTGAAGTTGGTATTGATGTCTTTATTTTACCGGGTTCCTTGAATTAATCTTCGTTTTCTCTTTTGTAGTTAATGTATGGATGCGATTGTTAAATCTATGGTTTTTAGAGAAATTTAGGATGAAATGTATTGTAATGAACTTTTGTTTTAGCTATTTTTTATATGCTTGTTTTATACCCATCATTTGGAGTACAAGCAAAAGAGTTAGTTATAACAAGATAACTACATGGACTATGGTTCCTAATTATTAGGAGAAAATGGAACATGATCAAGATAATGGAGTATTATAGTATAAAAATAGAAAGCCATAACGTAACATAGATTACTATCAAGGATTATAGAGCGCTATAAAAGATCATGGAGGAACTAAGAGTCTATAAATACTAGCTATAACCAAAAGAGAAAACACACATAAAAATCAACAATCAACTCAATAACATTTGTAAGAAGAAGAAAGCTCTCTCAAGTTTCAGCACTTTTGAAACTTGTTAGATAGTTAATTATAGACAGTAGTTGGTAGGTAGTAATCAAAGTATGCCGATAGTTTATACATTGATAGGTTTGCTCTCTATTCTTATATTGTTACTCCAACTCATGTTCATTGTTGCTACTCGATATTTCCGGAACTTCCAAAAATATAAGTTGAAATTTTTTTATTTAGAGATGTGAATTAAACTAAGTTTTTAAAGTCTTTACCTAGTATTAAAGGAACTAGAAACCTAAAATTGACACTAATTTAGAGATTTTAGGACAATAAGTTAGTTATGCAATTGAAAAGATATCAATCATCCAAAGGTACACTTTCCGAGGGAAGGTATCATTTCTAATTTAATCCTAAAATTTTTATCTTCTAAAAATTTTATTTTTTCAAAATATTTCCAAGTTTATTAAGCTAAATTAATTTTTTATTTTTTTTGTAGCATCATATTGAATCAATCGTCGGACCCCGACTTCAAGAGTCTTTTCAGTCCAACATTGGATCTAGTTTAAGTCTCGACATAATCGATATATCTAAGAATAACCTAATTACTAAAATGTGATTGATTTTGAATTAGCATAGTCTTTATTGAATAGGAGACTCGTTAAAATTGCTTTCTTTCTTTTTTGTTCTTTTCATGTTTTATTTTGAGCTATGTGAAGGGAACATTATCAAAATTATTTTTTGTTTGTTTTGTTTTGTAGCATCATATTAAATTAATGTTGAGTCCCAAAATTTGAATGTCTATTAATTTAGTATCGGATCCAAATTAAAATCCCGACATGATTGACATTTCGAGAAACGACCTAATTAACTAAAAGTATTTGCATCAAATGTTGAATAAAATCGACTCGACTTGACTCATTATTATTGTTTTTAGAGAAAATATATCGAACCATTGTTCATCTTTAATAAATAAGAGACTTGTTGGTCCGACATCATAACCGAATCAAACTTTATACATTAAAATAAATTTCATAACCTAAATATTTCTAAGTTTTCTAATACAAATAAAATTAACATTATTATAAAATAACATCATAAAATAATTAAAAAATAAATATTTAGGAGAAACAAACTGATTGGTTACTAAAGAGTGACCAAAATTTCCTAACGATGTCGCTAAAAATTACCAAAATGCCCTTATATGTCAAAATTACAAAACTACCCCTCAAATCCCTAACACTATTATCACTTGCTTTGATCACCATCCGATATCCTTTAGGTGCATCGACCAGCCCACATAAAGGAGGAGTTCCTTGCCGATTATCCCATGGTGGTGGTAGCCATAGATAGAGGAAAAAGAGGGAGATCGGTGTGGTCGAAGGTTCAACCATTTCTCCCTCTCTTTTCGATGGAGATTTTGACTATGAAAAGGCAAGAGTAGATAAATAGGCCACTTAGAGGACCACGAGGAGCATTTCTATGGTGGTCGTGAAGCTTGATTTGGTTGGATCGATGAGATTTGGCTTGGTTTGGAAGAAACGGATAAATCGATCACCGATTCTTTTTTTCTTTGATTTAGCCAATTTTGGAGAAATTTCTTTATGATTTAAAGGGAGAAAAACATATAGGAGGATGAGGGATACTTCTATAGTGGTGGGGGTTATTGGTTTGGTTGGAAAACAATGATAATAATGGGTGCACAATCGGGTCGGTCGTCAACCGTCTCTCTTCAATTTCTCCCTCCTCCAGCGTTCTCTTCTTCCCTAATGAGTTGAAAATGGTGGATCTAGTGGTGGGCTATCGATTTATGGTGGTGGATCAAATCCATTTTGATTTAAGGATGGCCAATTTGAGGAAGAAAATGCTAACAAGTCTATGGGTTGACATGTGGATGACCCGAGTCGAGAACCTTTTTAGGGGTTGTTTGGGAGCCTCTTTTTTTTGTTTTGTTTTTTTTTCTTGTTTTCTTGGAATCCATGTCCTATAAATCTTTTTCGAGAGAGATGATGAGCAGTAAAATTTTTACATTTTGGTTCTTTTTTGTGGATAAGGGTGA